AAGTAGTAAAGAACTATTTTAAAAACTTAAAGTGTGAGGCTGAGGTGAAAGACACTTGCCACCAAGCCTGGTTACCTGAGTTTGACTCGTGGGACTTCCATATGTGTGCTGTAGCGCAGGCGTACACATGCACACTTTAAGAAATTACAGAAGGTTTTGAAACATTAAAATATTTGTGTGTTCCCTGCCCAGCCATTAGTTCCCAGGTTTGCACGGCCTGATCTTTCAGTATGCAGTACAGTACTCTGATGACGGTGGGCAGTAGCAGCAAGTTAGCTTCCAGTTCCCTGTTCGTTCAGGGAAACAAGTGGGAAATAAGTTGCTCAGCTCTGCTGTTTGATAGTTAGAGATACTAAATAAATCTTTGCTCACAGTATTTTCAACTTGGAGTGCTGAGGAGTATTGTGTTCTCTTCCTTCTTCTGTCTTTCTCTTCTCAAAAATGCAAGAGACTTAGTCTGTCCAAATACTCCATATGGTGCACTTGCAAACACTTTGAAGTTCTCACAGAAGAATAGATTAGCCCTAGAATCTCCTCTGTCTTAAACATAGGCTGGTGTCACTGACCCTAGTTTAAAGACAGAAAGGATATGTAGACTGTGAAGAATGACAAGGTGACCAGCTCCAATCTCACGCTGAAAATCCAAAGCCTTTCTGCAGCTCCAGAAGCAGAAAGATGGGGTCCTTCTGTCTCATCCCTAGTTAGCATCCTGAAAACTGTAGGGTTTACACTGCTCTAAGTTTCGTCTGAATCAGGTCCTTGCCATTCAATTTTTTTCAAGATTCATCAACAAAAATATTGAAAGCATTGTTCCCCCCATTACTTGACTGAATGCTGAAAATAGTTATCTGAAGATGATTTCTTTTTATTTAGCCAAGGTTCAGAAATGGCCTCTCAAGGACGAGAACTGGCCAACCATTTCCAGAATGTGGGCACTCCAGTAATGATTGGTAAGGTGTTTGGGGCATGTTGGGTTCTTTTGGCGTAGCGGAGAATAAGTAAATCTTATTTGTATAATGTTTTAATGTTACATAAAAACTAGTAATTTTAAACACCTTTGAATTGGGTCTGGAGAGATGGCTTACGTATTAAAGGCACTGGTGGCTTTTCCCAGAGATCTGAGTTCAGTTCCCATGTGGTGGCTCCCAATCACCAGTGGTTCCAGTGCCAGGGAACCCGTGCCTCTTCAGTGCATCACATGGTGCCCAGACATAGATGCAAACAAAATACCTATGTACAAATAAAATATAAACATTTTAGAGTCAACTTAGACACACTACTCTTGGAATTTTAATTTCCAAAGTATAAAGAAGTTGCAGAAAAGATTTAGTAACCAAGAATAAGTGCTAAAAGGAAAATGATAACTGTTTGAACATTTAAAGAGCCAAGAGTAGTATTTTTAAAAAAGTGAAGCTACTTGGCTAAGCATCATGAGTCATGACTCTGTCACTAGCTTGACTGATTCTGTGTCATAACAGACTGCTTACCTTCATTGGGTTTCCATGTAAAATAAGATCTGACTAAATGAGCTAAAGATCCATGACTTTCTGAAGCAGAAGGTGAATGTGTAAGAAATGGAGGTAGGCAGATGTCAGCAGAGTATCACGAGAGCCTCATGGGTGGATGGGCTGGAGAGGCTCACAGATGCTCAGCACCTGCCGGGAGAGGCACCTCAGTGATCATTACTGCACTGGGAGGAGCTGGCCCCTTGGTGGCCCTTTCTCAGTTGATCTTAGGGAATTTTATGAATATAGCAGTAGAATATAAACTTTGTATGATTATAGATATGATCAAAGCATTTCTTACATATGTAACACAGTAGCTATTAAATATGTAATCTTATCCTTTCAAGTATATTTGCCATTGTGGTATTTTACAATATTGGGAAGACTGTTCTAATGCTGTATTACTTAAGTTAATTAATAGGCAAAACAATTAGTTTTATATTTGAACTGAATAAGCAGTTGAAATTAATGTATGCCCTAATATTTATATATTTATTTTTTTTCCCTAGGAGGAGGAGTATTGGCTCACACAATACTAGGAGTCGCATGGAATGAAACTACAGGGCAGATAAAGTTTCTGATTCTAGACCCACATTATACAGGTGCTGAAGATCTGCAAGTTATCTTGGACAAGGTAAATGTCTGTATCACGTAAATATAAGACGCTGGCCGTTAGCAAAGATAATAAGCCAAGGGCAGTTGTCCTCACAGCAGTGTTCCTAAGTCTGTTGTGTAACTGTGTTCTATGTAGGAAAGACAACAGGAGTCACAAAAGGCCCAACGTTTATAAAAGCTTTGCTGTTTACTAAACTTCCTCGTAGACCGTGACCCGTTTCCTTTGCAGATTTGCAGCACGTACAGTTGAACTGTCTCACCAGTGTCTTAAAACAAGAGCAGAATAAACTTAAGATCAGTACTGGGAGAAGGCGGAGCAGTTAGGAGCGCTTGCCCTTCTTGCAGAGGGGCAAGTTCCATCCAGCACACACCTTATGTGGCTCACCACCACGTGTAACTCCAGCTGCAGGGTATCAACACCCTGAGTACGGATACACACGTACCCATAATAATTTTACAATCAGTCAATCAATAGATAAGCAAATGCCAGTCATTATGGAAATGTGATTACTTCTCACTGTGTACTTATAACATGATCATTCTATAAAGATTGGAAGTTGAGGCAAATGTAGAAGTATTTGTTGACATAATATTGACTACATAGGGCATAAATCTAAATTGATTTATAGGCAGCTAATTCTCATATGAAAGGCTGGGGAGATAATTCAGCAGATAAAAATGCTTCCTGACAACCTGAGTTTGTTCCCTAGATCCCACATGGTAGACAAGAACCAACTCCTGCAAATTGCTCTCTGACCTCCACAAACACAAAATAAATAAAAGTTTGTTTGTTTTTAGATAATAGCAACATTGTCCTATTCAGTAGCAAAATATTGATTCTTCTGGCATTTGTTAGTCAGTGTCAGCCATAGTCCTAAGCATGCTAAGGATCCCTCAGTCTCCTGGAGAGGGACCGAGGACTGTCCAGGATTCTCAGACTAGAAGTATGAAGATCTAGGTTTAGAAGGCTGTGGAAGGACTCCTTAGATGGAGGGAAGGGAAGCATAGACTGTTCCCCCAACCTACAGGAGCTTTAGCCCAGTAAGGCGGGGCGGGGGCGGGGCAGACAGAAAAGCTGAGCTAGGATTTAGATTTTATCTCAAGAGCAGGTAGAAACCTTCATTGTTTCCATCAGGGGAGTGTTATGGGTGATAAATGTGCTTCTTTCTGGCTGATTAATGGGCTTTGCCCCATGGAATGATTTATCCTGAAGCCATTAGATAAAGGGAGTCGTCATCCCCGATTACTTTCTGTGAGAACTCTGCAGTCACATTTCTGTAGAATGACTCAACAGCAGAAGGCCCTTTAACCCTCTGATGCACACAGCACACTGAAGCCAGGGCACAGCACCAGTCAACTCTGACTTCCTGGACTCCAGCAGATGATGGAGCAGTAAAGTTCACCATCCTGGCCGAGTTTGGTTTCTGTTGATGATAAAAACAGAAGCACCTTGGGAGGAAAGAGTTTGTCTGGCTTACACTTCCTGATCACAAGCTGCCATTGAGGGCTCCAGGCAGCACAGAGACAGAAACTAAAGCAGACTGAGGAGGACCTGTCTGCTGGCTTGCTTTCCATGGCTTGCTCACCTTGCTATCGCATACTCCTCAGGACCACCTACCTATGCCTGGCCCTACCTACCGTGGGCTACGCCCTCCTCTTCCACCTAGCAATCAAGAAATGCCCCCACTCGTGCCCACAGGTCCAGGCTGAACTGAGTAAGTTCTAAGTCATCTTGGGCTACAGTTTAAGACTCTTGTCTCAAAGAGAAAGTAGAAAAATGAGTGATCCTACAAGAAATTTGATAAAACTTTCATATTTACAATAAACCACTAAAAAATACTCTTTGCTAGAAAAAAGGATTAACCTTGAAGACTAGAAAGCAAACAGCCTGTGAAGATCAAAAACAGAACTCATGGGACTGGCTTGGGTCTCTCCCATTTCATTTTATCTGTGTCACTGGATGGCATACATGTACAGTCTTTTATGGACTACTACGTAAAACAGTTTGCCAATAAAGCTGGCGCAGCTACCGATTGCCTTTATCTTAGAACCAGTGAAGTATAATGTCTGGACTAACAGTTGCTATAAGGAAGGGATTTTTTTCTTTTGATGACTTCTAAAGTTTTATTGATTTTTTTTGTTTTGTTCTGTTTAAAAATCTGTGTAGAAAGGATGCCTGATTTACTTTCTATTGCTGTGATAAGCACTATAAACAAAGCAACTTGTGGAGGAAAGGGTTTATTTCATCTTACAGCGCAGAAGTTGGGGCAAGAACTGAAGACTGTAGAGGAATATCACTTACTGGCTTGCTCAGCTTGATTTTCTATGTGAGCCGGGACCCCCTGCCCAGGTCTGGCACTGCCCACAGATTACTGGGCCCTCCCACATCAATCATCAGTAAAGACAATTTCCCACAGGCAAATCTGAGAGAGGCATTGTTCCAACTGAAGTTTCTGTCCCCAGATGATGGTAGCTTGTATCAAGTTGACAAAAAAGTAACTTTGCTCCACTTAGAAAGTCCTTGAATTAGGCCTGTGTCTGAGTCTCATGCTGGGGGCCTGCTGACAGAGCTTCATGTTAGAGCTTCCTGCAGATTCCATCGTGGACTCTTGGGCTATAAAAGGTTTTCTTTCCTTTTGTCCAAATCTAGGGCTGGTGTGGATGGAAGAGCCCAGACTTCTGGAACAAGGATGCGTACTATAACCTGTGCCTTCCTCAGCGGCCAAATGCTGTTTAAATTATCTTGGAGTCAAGATTATAGATATAAAAGAGCTGTTCTATGTTAATAAAAGCAAGCATAATTTTAAATTAAATCTTGGCTGTGATTTAATTTAAACTAACTTTTTTTCAAAAGTAGTAAAGAATCCACAGAAATTTCTATTCCTTTAATAGTCTTTTAATAAGTTAGATAACAAAGCATGCACAGCCAAAATATAGTCATGTAAATACATGTATTCATGAATATCTCTTCACTTAGAAGAAAGCTTTCCTCTAAAACTCCTCAGGAGTTTGTCTGTATGGTAAGCCACAGTCATGGCTTGTAGATGTCTGAAGTGAAGCCCTTCCTCAGGCCTCTCGCCCAACAAGGTATCTGTTTTGGGGGGAAAGAAAAAAACATGTTAACATTAAAAACATTTTTAAGGGAATTTGAGAAATGGCTCAGTGCTAAGAGTGCTTGCTTTATTAGCTAAGAGTGCTTGCTTTATAATCGCGAGAGCTGGAGTTTGGATCCTGTACCCAAGCAACAAGGCAGACATGCTGCAAATGCCTGCCTGGCCTGCACTCCAGAGTTAAGGAATCCCATGCCCTCTTCAGGCCTCCACAAGTACCCTTGAACACACACAGGCACATGAGTGCATACACACACACACACACACACACACACACACATACACACAATCTTAAAAAAAAAATTTAAAAGGAGATGGTCTTTCCCCAAATCTCTACCACACAGGACAAATTTTGGTCTCTAGAAGCTAGCAAGTAGTAACTATGACCCAGGGTAAAACTTTAAGAAAACACAAAGTCTACTGTACCTTCGACCAGAGTGCTGCTGATATTAAGTGCAACAATAAACTCTACCAGAAGAGAAACCATATAGGAGAAAGAAAAGAGCGGCTGGAAGGTCCTTACCCACACTTCCTCTTCAGAGCTCTGTTCTCCACACTTGTCCCACTTCGCTTCTGTCTGAGCACTGGAGCACAGGGATCACAAGATGACTTTGCCGTCTGCATCCACTTAATCGTTGTCAGAAACCTGGCACATTCTGGAAATCCACACGACCGAGCAAGATCTTCAGCTGTTTGCCCGTTCTTATTACATAAGCTGAAATTGGACAAAAGTGAAAATTATTGTTTGTTATTCTTCTAACAGTGGAAATTGTAGCACATAGCCAATACTGGGTACAGAATAAAAAAAGGTGCTAGTTGAGGAGCTGTGAGCAGAACACAGTAGGAGCATGCACGCACACACATACGCACATATACGCGCGCACACACATATACGCACACACAAGTGGGAGTTAAAGGTCACGGAAGTTTAGTTTTGTTCACTGTTGTATGCTCATTTATTCCATTATCATATTTCACTCTTGAAGAAATTTAAATGACTACAAGAGCATTTGGTGTTCAATATTCTGTATGTTGAATACTAGAACTTCTATAGGAAGAGCCTTCCTAAGCTAAAACTGCAGTGGAGTCCATCGTGATGAAGACCTGCGGCCCTGATGTTCAGGATCTATTTCCACTTACTCGATAATATTAGATAACATAACAGAAAATATAACATAAAAATACCAGCTTGAGGAGCATTAGTTTAATCCAAGAAAACAAAGCCTGCAGCCACTGATTTTATACTCACTCAATCTGGGCATCACTGGCCACAAGGAGGCTAAGGCATTCCAAGCTTCCAACTTTCGCTGCCTTGTGCAGTGGAGTTTCTCCCAGAACATCCTGTAGAACAAGACAGCATGTTAGTGTCTACCCAACTCCGTGGAAGCCAGCGGGCAATCTAATACTAGCTATTTGAGGAAGCCAGAGAAAACTGCCCTGTACCAACTGAATTCTTTTACTCAATTGTATTTCTGATAAAGTTCTCTCATTGTACTAATGCAAAGTTTCCATTAGAAAAACTTGCAGCCACTTTCACTTCCATTAAAATTTAAAGGAATGCCCGTAGAGCAGAAGTTTACAATGAAAAACATCGCACTGTAATGAAGATGAAAACTACCGAAGAACTGATGCTGGGCATGTCTCCCACGTATCATTTCCTGGTCGGCTGAGACGTGGACAGATAGCACGTGCTTTTAAAACCTCTGTAGATGTAAACTGTACCCATAGCCAGTGGGCTCCTACCTAGTGCTAAGAACATTTGAAATGTGGCTAGACTGAATTGAGCTATGCTGTAAGGGAAAATACATACTGGATTGTGAAATACAGTATGAAAGCAAAAATAAAATAGCACATCAACCATTACTGATGTATTTACATACTGAAACAATTTGATTAAATTATTAAAATTAATCTCATGGCTTGTTTTTGCTTTATTAATGTGGATACTAAAAATGTTTCAAGTTACCATCATATATGCGTATGTATGTATGCACACACACGTACTGCAAATTCTTATATGCATGTTTATACCAACTGAAACTGGCGGCTATGTGAAGACACTGGGTGGAGGGGAGGGTTGTACATAGCAACAATAGGTTACCTAGTTACCTGTTGGTTGAAGTCAGCGCCTGCTTGCAGCTGCCAGAGAAGAAAGCAAGCAAGGCCGCTACCTGCAGCTAGGTGAGCAGGCGACTGCTCATGGGAATCCGGGGGTGCGTTGACTGATGCTCCTGTCTCCAGCAAATTCTTGAGGCCATCATCCTGCGGGAAGAGAACAGATTGTCACTGTCCTGTCCTGCTTGAGCCCTCTCTGAGCTGAAAATCCATCCCCCGCCACGAAAAAACCCAAAAACCTAACAAGGGTTGATTTGGTAACCCAGCGGTCAGTCATTGTCACCCTTGCTTGAGCGCCTTAAAACGGACCTCTTGGAAGATTTGGCCTGCAGGACTTAAAGGAGCGGGAGTCTCACCTCCAGGTTGCAATTAAGCAACAGCATCGCCCACTTAAAGCAGAAGACAAGAGTTCCCTGGAGCGCAGAGAGACTGCGATAGCTGCACACTGGCAGGTAAGACTGCACGAACCGCCCCAGCGTGGAAGAATTTAAAGCTCTCCCGGACTAGCAGGGCGGCTCCTCCCCGCCGCTCCCTATCTCGGGAGCGCCCCACGGTTTATGTTCCCAGCCCCGCGGCGGCCTCACGTACCCAAACACAGACACGTGTAGCCAGGAACCCGGCAAAGGGGGGGGGGGCGGCCTGCTGTGCAGTCCCGCCCTGTGATTGGCCACTTCGAGGCTTCCCTGGGTCCGCCCCCTTGGGAGTGGAGCCCGAGTGGCCCTGGTACGCGTGCGCAGTGAGGCGATGGGCGGGGAGGGTGAAAGTCCTCGTTTCTGTTCATCGGCGGTGGCCGTGATGCGTGCTGAAGTCGGCACGTAGGCCGGGTGGAGGGAAGCTCTTTTATCCCCTGGAGAAGCGGAAGTCTCTCGGGCAGGGTTTTGTGTCTGCGAGCTCGCACGTATCCCGGAAAGGAGGGGAGCGAGCAGCCCCCCTCCATCCCCGAAGCCAGATCCTAGATCCTAGACCTCCAGTTCTGCCTGCATCTCCATGCTACTGAGAGAGCTTAGGAAGGGGGCTCCGCAACCGGGGCCTTGTGAACTCGCCTAAGTGAATTATTAGCCAATGCTGCCAGGTCTCTGAGACCTGGGTGGCAGTTCTTGTGAAATAAGCCACCCATTGTCACGTATCCCTCCATAGGGGGCCTGAAAACACTCCAGGTCCTGGAAACAGCTAGTGATACAGGTTTTGTCAAGGTTGGGGCAGCAGGAAGGATGGGGTCTTGTTAAGGCTCTCTGGTTATTAAGAACACGGGAAGGGAAACAGAAGAGAATGAAGTGAAGAAAGAGCCAAATCCATTTAGGGCGGGTGGTGAGTGGTTAACATTAGTGATATGTTGACAGCATGAAGCCCTGCACTATGACTTCAGGAGGTCGTCATCCACTAAAACCCAGAATTCAGATTAAAACGTTAGATTAGTTGAATCAAAAGGATGCTTGTTCAATACTACTCAAAGCTGTCAGGATCATGATAAATCAGGAAGGGCTGACAAATAGACCAGAAGAAATAATAATTTAGAATGAAATTATAGAAGAGAAAAATGACATTACTGGAAAATTCATGACAATGAAATAACTATAATGCTTGAAATCCTGGTGATGTACAAATGTTGACTTTCTGGTTGTAGGAAACGTAATGTTAACAACAGGGGGAAACATACAGGTAAGAGACTTACCGTCTGGTAAGCCTCAAATGTATAATTTATTTAAAATCAGACAGAGCAGTTTAAAACATTTTGTGTTGAGTTTCTTACTGTTTAAGGAAGTTTTAATAACTGTTTTAATAGCATTCTTTCTTGTTGGACTCTAGTGTCCAACCCAAGAAGGAGTCGCCCCCAGAGACCACCTCATACACCACAGCCGATGCAAAAGCATGAGGATTTTATTAATTCTGTCATGACAGGGTCCCTCAGCATTCGGGAAGCCGAGAGACCCTGACTAGCTGGTACAGTCTGCTTTTAAAGGAGAAGGCCCCATAGAAACAAGAGGAGTTGTTCCTTGACCATTATGATTGGCTTGTTCGAAAAGGGCTAATACCAATAATTGACTGGAGAACTATTGTCATATCAGATGAGGTAAGAGGTCATTTTGACCCCGTTTCCCAGGGGACTGAGTTAAAACATACGTGTATGGGTAATTGTTCAGGAACTGAGTACGTGCATGTGTAGCTGTTAGGTCCTTGGTTCCCAGGGGAGGAGGGGAAGCACTAGGGCACGAAGGCTGAGAGGGTTCAGAAATGGCTTCAGAATTGTCTTAACGTCTTACATTCTCAATAGCTGTAGCAGAAGATATCTGAAGCAGTATGAAGCTAGTAAAGAATAAGTTTATCCACAATTAGTCCCAGATCTCCCAACCAGTCACAAAGTTTTCAACCATTTAGTTTCATTAACCAATATATTTCATCAATAAGACACACCATTGTGGAGATCATTTCATGGTCTTGGGCTCTTCCCTAGAACAGCTTATTAAAATTGTTCAGTGGTGGCACACGCCTTTAATCCCAGCACTCGGGAGGCAGAGGCAAGCCCATCATTGTGAATTCAAGGCTAACCTGGTCTACAAGAGCTAATTCCAGGACAGGCTCTAAAACTACAGTGAAACCCGATCTCGAATCCCCTTCCCCCAAATTGTTTTGCTCATGACCCCTCCTTGCCAGAGATAATTATGTTTATCTCTCCAGTTGCATAGATGTATAAAACAGGTACAAATAAATCTTTTTCTGATAATAAATCTGAAATTTGTTTTAGCACAATTCTTTCATATATGAATAATTCTACAATTTATAAGGTTATAATACAATTTGCATATTAGCAAGATGAATATGCTTCCTTATTTTTACATAAAGAAATAGGCTAATATTTGATATTAAAGAACATAGAGTGACTAAAACATTTTTCATAATAGGTGAAAATAAATCAACTGTAAAAAAATGAAAAGGGGGAAGAATATCTGAATTGGGAAAGTGCTTGTTGATATGTAAAAAGACCTGAATTCAATCTCTAGCTCCCATATTAAAAGCAAAACAGACAAGCAGAGCTACTGTACCCGTAATTCCAAAGCTGTAGGAGTGAACATTGACGAATCCCTGAGACTTACAGACCCTGTCTCAAAATAATATATATGTGGTTATTTGAGAACCTAGCCATCTAGAAAAATAACAGTGGCAACTTCTACCTTAGAGTCTATGCCTTCCCCTCCATGGTCCTCCAGGATTACAGCACCAAGCACAATATCCTCTTCTGAGGAACTGCCTTCAAAACCAATCAGAAAGCAGTTGGTTGCCCATACACTTTGCCACTATTGCACCAGTGAGCACGTCTTGTTTGATATTATAGTATGTGGAGTCCAGCAGTAGATAAGACTACTGATGTCTTTTCTCCCCCAACAGACTGCGTTGCACCTTCTGGCACTAAGAAAGCTAGATAGCAGGAAGACAGTTTTCCAATAGATTTGAGATTGGTATCTATCTTACCTGCAGCCATGGAGTGTGGTGTCTTCAGCAACAGGGTCTTCCTGTGGAGTGTAGCAAAGACATTAGCCTATGTTGTTTTTGGAGACTTCTGCCTTGCTTTGCAGTTTTTATTTAATACCCTATGTCATCTTGGAGTTTGCTGAGTGTTCAGCCATAAAGAGATATCTTAATTTACTCTCCACTACCACCCTTGCCAAGGCTCTGGGAATGCCAGCAAAGTAATGTTAGAAAACAGTATAAACAGGAAGATGGGTAGGAATTCTGGGAAATGCTGACTTCTGGAGATGATTCTCATGGACTCACATATGCTGTGGTTGGGTGCACTAGATCAAGCCAACCAAAACTCCAATATAAATTGGGGGGGGAGGTGGTCAGGAGAGTTATTTCTAGGCCCCTTGTTGAGGAGCTATTAGCAGTTGGTAATCACTGAGGAGGGAAAAAAAATCATCCTGTTTCTGTTGCTGTTGTTTTATAGTATGACCTCTAATCAGGTTTCCTATGATTCATCAGATGGAACAACACTAATTGGATTAAGTGGCCTATTAAGATGGAGAGAATTGAAGAAGAACCCCAAAACTGACTTCTGGCATTCACATAAGCTTTTAGTTTCTTTTCTATGTCTGTGAAGCAACAACATGACCAAGGCAACTTATAGAAAAAGGAGTTTATTGGGGACTTAGGGTTTCAAAGGATTAGAATCCATGACAGCCATGGTGGGAAACACATCAGTAGGCAGACAGGCATAGTTCTGGAACAACAGCTGCAAGCTCATTACTTATCCACAAGAGAGAGACACACTGGCTTCTGAAACCTTAAAATCCATGCCCAGTGATTTCTCCAGTAAGACCACACCCAATCTTCCCCAAACATTTCCACCAGCTGGGGACAAAGTATTCAAATATATGAGCCTATGGGGGCTCTACTCATTCAAACCACCCTCATGCACATTTGCATAGTGTAGTTGGGTTTTGTTTGTTTGTTTGTTTACTTGTTTGCTCTTGGGAGTGCCCACTACCCAGCTCCCAAATAAATACACGGAGACTTGTTTTAACTTGTGAATGCCCAGCGTTAGCTTGGCTTGTTTCTAGCCAGCTTTTCTAACTTAAATTATCCCATTTCTCTTTAACTACATTTTGCCTCTGGGCTTTTTACTTTTCTTTATTCTATATATCTTTCTTTCCTTCTTACTCTGTGACTGGCTGAGAGGCTGGCCACTGGCTCGTCTCCTCCTTTTCTCAGACCTCACTCTCTTCCCTAGATTTTTCCTAATTATTCTCACCTTCCAGCCCTGCTGTTTCTCTCCTGCTAAGGTATTGGCCATTCAGCTCTTTATTAGACCCATCAGATGTTTTAGGCAGGCAAAGTAACACAGCATCACAGAGTTAAACAAATGCAACATAAAAGAATTCAACACATTTGTGCATCATTCCACAGCATAAATGAATGTAACACATTTTAAATTATTAATCCACAAAACATACTTGCAACCACCCTCATGAACATGTACACACAAATTAAGTAAATAAGCAAATAATGGGGGGGGGGGATAATTGTCTACCCAGGTTTTTTCATGGGCATTTCAAAAGTTATACTTCTTTTGAACCAATCTAATCATGCATCAGCTCATGACTCTGGGGAAGAAAGAAATAATTCTAAACTCTCCCAGATCACCACTTCTTAAATTGTTTCAGCATGCATGAAAAGAGTGGACTATAACTATATTTTTATGTGTTGTAAGTTAAAATGCTCATGTATTCTTTCATTAATCTCTTCTTTTTTCTCGTTTACCTAACCCAACTGACAGTTCCATTAATATATCAAAGGTCATTTACTGCGTTTATAATACATCCTATTTCTTGTTACTAGCTAACTTTTAGACTTAAATTAACCCATTAGTTCTTATCTCTGCTTTGGCACATGGCTTGGTGTAGTGAGGGGCTGCGGGCAGGCCTGCTTTTCATCCTGCCCAGCTCCCGCATGGCTAGCTTAGCCCCAGA